ATATATATATATATATATATATATATATATATATAGACATGTATATTACAGCCTATAAAACAGCAACATTCTTTTAAACTTGTTGCTTGCAGTGTCTTTCTACCCATAACTTTGTATGATATATTGTATATCATAACTTTTATATATATATGTATATATTTGTGTGTGTGTGTGTTTGTTAATGCTGTAGTATGTATCTTTAAGTAGTATTCTTGGAGTAAAGATTCTGTAATTATTTATATAGATTTATCAATTGTTGCTTTTAAACCAGCAATTTTCAAATTAAAATTATTACTCAAAAATATATGCTTACTACATTTAATATAATTCAGAGTAAACCTTAACAACTTCTTGTAATAGGAGTATAATTGTTTTTAATCAATATATAAAAGGACATCTAAGAGATTTTGAAATGGACTTAATTTTTTAAAGGGAGAAAAAAACAGAAACATTTTGAAGATAATAAAGTTTTAAGAGTTATTTGCAGTTATATCAGAATGATTAAAAGTATTGTTTTTCAGAGTTAACAGCAAGCAGTGGAGCCCTACAGAAAGATACCATCCACAGTGAATCTTTTGAAGCTAAATATCTAAGATTTGTTATTACATCTGGCTATGATCACTTCTGTGCTGTGTACAAAATACAAGTTTCGGGAACATTATATTGATATAAAAAAGGCAAATAATCATCACCAAAAAAAAAAAACACTAATAAAATAATCACATTTCAACAAAGACATCAGGAATAGCAGTGTATTTAAAACGGTATTTTTTTATGATAGAAATATGCATGAACTACATTGTTTATGAAAAAAATCATAATCATTACTATTACTTGTTTTTAGTTTATGTAACTGCTAAATCCTGCTGTGATCTTGATATTTTCATAGCATAGGTTTTGTAACTTCAAATATATATATAATGGTTACTATTTATACATTAATAAGGCTTTATGCACATGAATATTTGTCTTCAAATTTCACCCTTTTGGCTTTCATGCTAAAATCTCAGTGAATTAAAAACACACCAAAAATTTGAGTGATTTTAAATAGTTGACTGCTCTTTTTCAGGAGAAGAGAGAAGATGAATAGTCAACTAATCGAAAGTGCTCAGTTTTAGTTTTTTGAAATTTCATTGCACCTTTAATATGTGATCCTGTGTGCTTACTCTTCAATCAAAATGCTAAAATGTTATGAATTTTTTTTTTACTTAGTTTTTTTTTTAAGTAACGACAAGCATGTTTATCACAAATTCACTAGTATGCATTTTTTTTGAGAAGTTTTCAAGTCTCTTTTAGGACCACCATCAGGTCAACTGATAACAAAAAATACATGAAACAATACTTGCAAAGCAAAGAATGTTTTTTGTGTGTGTGTTTATGTTTAGTTAGCCTAACGAGGCTTATAAGAAAGGGTTGAAAATGTGACAATAAACCTTTGAACATTGCGAAGGCCTATTACGTGTTTGAGTGATTAATTTTTTAAAAGGTTTATAGATTTGAAAAAATGCTCTGAACCTGTATGTACAAATTTGGTTTTCAGTTTATAGTTTGCATTACTTCTTAAAGTATGTTAGGTTTCTGATAATAGTTGTTTCCTCAGGAAATTATAAATAAACAAGAGAAAAACAACATTTTTTATGGGGTTTGACGAGTTTCAAAATAAGTAGAAAATATTGCTGGTGAAACTAGATCCAGATTGATGAAAGCAGTTACATCTATCAAATATATAAGAAGTATTTTAACAGTGAATAAAGCCATTTTATTTAATATTTACACTGTACAAAATGTGAAAAATTTGTTAACCAGCTTCAGAAAAAAAGTGAAACCAGAACAGCAGTATGAAGAATGTAATTACAGCAGAATGTTATTTTATAATTTTAATTCATGCACAAAAATAGTAGTTAGTTTATAATTCATCATCTCTGAAATATTTAATCACTTATTTGTTTTGTTGGAAAAAAGGGTTGTAATTTATTTATAAGAAAATATATGGTGAAAATAAAGTTTGTAGTGTATGATTTTATTTTTACATAATGCAATAAACAATATTTGCAAACAATTAAAATAACATGCACTTTTATATAACATTTGTGTTATAATGCCTGTTATACTTAGCAGCAGATCTTATAACTTGAAATTGCAAATTACTATTGATTTATTTACTTGTGAAGAAAATAAATTAACAAATAAATAAATAACCAGTTAGTTTGTTGAATAATAATGGATAATTAGTTGTAGCAGTTTATGTTATCCAAACACATGTTGTATATTATAGTTTATTTGTAGTGAGTAAAGGACTGAACATTTGAACCAGACAAATTGCTAATGGCTTACTACTAATAAAATTCTATACACCAAATTTGTATTCATTATAATTATGTAGGATTTTTTTTTCTAATCAATCAAGTGCTTTATAAACTTCCACTGCATTGCAAAATCTCAAGTATCAACAATATTTTATAGAATATCAACTATCTATGAATTTTAGATAGGAACATTCTGTCCCAAATAGTCCATCTGTGATGGTAATTATCCATTCATATTATATAAAACAATTTACAGTTAAACATTGAAGGAATCTCATAAACACTACAGCTGTGATATAAGGGTATATCATATGTTTTTTACCTGCAAAAATCTTTTGGTTCTTTAGTTTTCATGTTGTAATGGTGGTAACAAAGGGTCCAGAGAGCCATTAAGATTACCTTGTTTTAGTTGCTTTGTACTCTACAGTAGGGGATGTCTCTTCTGCCCGAGAAGATATTGCAGTAATTTATAGTATCCATGTTAAAATGATTGGTACTATGATATCCTTTACTGGCTGGTTATGATGTTGACTACATCTAACAGCCAACAAAACTGTAAGGAACAAAGGTCACAAAGTAACATTGTGAACTGGGCAAAGAAAGAGAGCTTACCTGTTGACTTCAGGCATGCTTGTTTTTTTAGGTAGTTTCTACTAGGAGATCATCAAGTGAAGACTTCTTTCAAGAACATTATATATATATATATATATATATATATATATTACTATCGATATGTTTGTAGGAAGGAAAGAACGTGTGGTAGTAACTAACTACTTAATTAAGTAAAGTACGTCGTTCGTTCTTATTTGTTTGTT